TTGCCAAGGCAGTGAACGATAGCAAAGCCGCGCAACATCAGCTGAAAGAACATCATAATCGTGCTATGGAAGGTCATGAACTTTATCTCGCTCCGTACAAGCGTGAATGAGAGTGCTTCTTCAAGAAAAAAAAAAGTCAAAGAGATGTTAAAAATGTTAAAAATTTCTAAATGTATAACTACCAATGTACAACTACAACAATTGACAACGCGTATGCGCATTCCATATTTTAGAGGCGTTTTTATACGTACTATCTTACCTACAGGAGTACATCGAAACGAAAGTGGTATCTTGAATTTGGATAATGCTGAGAGATCATGTACTTATTGGGTAGCGTATGCAAAGAGGAAGGATTGAGCTATTTATTTTGATAGTTTTGGCTCTTTTCTAACCATCGAAGGAATTGGGATATTACGATATCTAAAAAAGACATACATCGAGTATAATCGCACGGCATATCAACGTATGATCAAAGCAATTGTTGACAACTATATCTGCAGTTTCTGAAGGGAGTTGACAATCGATTTAAGACCGACATTGCGTTGTATAAAGTCAGTATTCGATCAAACATGTCACTAACGTTTACGTTGACCGGTAAGAGTAGTCTGCTCTCGGTAAGCTAGTTTGCAGCCATTTGATTACGAGTTCTGGTCTGGAAGATTTTGAAACGTACCACGCGATATTGAATTGTCTAATAACAAAAATAATTAACATTGTCTAATAACAAATTTTACTTTGACAAAGAAATGACAAAAAAATTGTCATTTCTCAGTTCGAAGGATCGTACGAACTGTATGACATAAGCAGATATCTAATACGTGCAATATTAGAACAATATCCTCGTCTCAATGATATTGCGAAAAAGAAGATGCTCGAAAGAAAAGATGAAGGGAAACGAGTATCCACTGATTATTCGAGCTAATAGCAATACGATGAAGAGCGAGATCAAGTGTGCTTATTGAATAAATTTCGCCAAATCCGACATTGGATTGCTGCTTGGATTTTCGTCGA